CCCCCCTCCAGTTTCATTCTTTTGAAGGCTTAACCGTATTTGAACTTGCAGGCTCCCTGGTGACTATGGTTTTGACCCACTTGGTCTTGGAAAAGACCCTGCATTCTTGAAATGGTACAGAGAAGCAGAGCTCATTCACGGAAGATGGGCAATGGCTGCAGTATTGGGCATCTTTGTAGGTCAAGCCTGGAGTGGCATTCCGTGGTTCGAGGCTGGTGCTGACCCCGGTGCTATTGCACCTTTCTCTTTTGGCTCACTTCTTGGTACTCAGCTTCTCCTCATGGGGTGGGTTGAGAGCAAAAGGTGGGTGGACTTCTTCAACCCTGAGTCTCAGTCAGTAGAATGGGCCACTCCATGGTCCAAGACTGCCGAAAACTTTGCCAACTTCACTGGAGAACAGGGTTACCCTGGCGGCAAATTCTTCGATCCCTTGGGCTTAGCTGGTACACTTCAGGACGGTGTTTACATCCCTGACACAGAGAAGCTTGAGAGACTAAAGGTTGCTGAGATCAAGCATGCTAGACTTGCTATGTTAGCCATGTTAATTTTCTACTTTGAGGCCGGGCAAGGGAAGACACCCCTTGGAGCTCTTGGTTTGTAAGGGATTTCGTATTATTAAACATTTCATTGTAAAGAGTCACTGGATGTAGAAAGAAGAAACCAAAGCTTGGATTTGTCCCTCCAAGTTTTTCCCCTTAAGAAAGTTCAAATTCTTCCCTTGAAACAATTTATCATCTTACATAATTTATATACTTCAAGAAAACATTTAAGATTGCTCTGGCCCAAGTATTACAGTATAACAATTGTAACAATACAGAGGCAGAGACATGGTAGTAAAAATTCCAATCAAATGATTCAAGAATCCTGACTTAACATCTGAAGAACCTAGTTCAAGAATGAGCATAATCTGCAGTCTCAATTGGTAATTTGATCAAAATGCGGCAAAAACCTTCACAACAACATAATTCAACCAGGAAGGCAGCATTGTCAGTGAGTTGCTGCCTTCTGGGGTTACAAGAGCAATATCTCATACAACAAGAATTAGAATTGTCATAACAATGCACTGAAGGACAAAGAGACCTTTGCTCACAGATATAGGAAATTCGCATTCATCCTGAATGTAACAAACCATTTCGTTTAGCTTTGGCAAGGACAGAAACCAAAAGCTCATAGAACTACTCATCAGATGATCATTTTATTAGATTCCCTAGTTTAACATAAATGGGACAGATGGAGGGAGAAAACTGATCAAGGTGCCAGAAAGTTGCCTAGCAACGGACTTGTAGCTGCACAGCGTTACTCGCTGCTTGTAGCCATCAAGAACTCACCCTCACAAACCACATCCCCTGCTAGATATGCCTTTCCTTCCATCTTTATTATTCCAAACCATTTTTGCAGCTTCATCAGTGTTATTCTCATTTTTTATAAGGTTAAGATTTTATTGTTAAGGTACCAAGATGGTACAAACTAGTACATCACTCAAACAGAAGCCAAAAAGAAGCAAACTACTACATCCTTCTTCCTAATAAATCCAGAAAATCCATATATTGATCAAGATTCACTAACAGACTGCTTTTACACCAAAAGTAAAGATTATGTAAACATCTATTTTTAGTCCTAGAAATACGTTTCTTTTCAAGATCAGTGTCATTCTCATTACCAAGCTATTTCCAGCCACCACTTATGTTGTTCGGACTCTCCGAAAATGTAGCCGGATGTGTGTCGAATCCTCCAAAAGTAGTACATTTTTGGAGGATCCGACACGGGTGCAGTAGCATATTGGAGAGTTCGCGCAACATAGGCCATCACTGGCTTCCAGAACCTTACTTTGTCTTTCCAGCTAAGAAAAAGTTCACTCTGGAGCCTGAACCTTCAGGTTACAATCATAACCGAGCCACCAGCTTGGGTAAGAGTAACTCGTGAAAATTAAGGACTTCACCTATCTGTTCGGTAATGACATGAAGCAACATGCTACATGAAAAAAGTTCAGAACTATCATCAGTTAAATTAGCATTGGCCTGAAAATCTGCAGTTGGTAATAAGACAACAAATTTATCCAATTACTTCGATTTTAAAAAGAGGAACTCTAAACATGCCACACTCAATAAGACAAGACCATTGAACCAACAGAAATGCACATTCAGTATCAGTCATGGAATGAAGAAACAAGTCATATACATACCTCAACCATGAGAACACCGTGCATGATAGCTCAGGGAAATGCCCAAGAAAGAAGTTATTATTGATAGTCATATTCATTATAGCCACAGGTGACACTCCCGGATTCTATTCAATCACTCTACCCACTAGAACAAGCAGGTAAACTGAAAATAATGCAGCCCTCATCAGTAAATCAATCACATTGCTGAAACAAATGAATCAACCAACTATGCCTTATGTCCATCTTTCCTTTTTAGTCTTGAAATATGTAGTTAGAAGAAAAAATCAACTACACCTCAATCACGAACTAGTTGGGGCAGGTATAGAAGTCCTACATATCCATTCCACTCTATTCGAGTCCATTTCATTCCAACATTAACTAATTTGTCATTTCAAGTCAATAATGAAACAAATTAAGCACATTTTTACAAACAGATAACAAATGCAAACGGATGGGGCAAAATCTCGGAATCTGATTACTTCCATCACACTAGGAAATGCTGGGTACCCTAATAAGCAAATCAAAATTCCAAACATTTGAAGGAGCTAGAGAGCATGCGTATGAAGGGGGGAAAAAAGCAAATAAATGGATTAATACATTACTCAATTCAATTGGGGTTTCCGTTTTCGGCATCATATTCTTCCACTCAATTCAATTGGGGTTTCCGTTTTCGGCATCATATTCTTCCACTCAATTCAATTGGGGTTTCCGTTTTCGGCATCATATTCTTCCACTGGGCAAAGGAAGGGAGGCATTCTCAAAGCCCTTATGATAACTGCGAGTGGAGAAGATAGATGCGATACAGCCATAGAAGCCATTGGTGAAGGTGAATTGAGAGGTTTGTGACTTGTAAAAGGATTTGTTTAAAGAAAAAGGGTATTTGGAGAAGGAGAAGAATTGAGGTCAACAGAAACAACGTGGGTTTTAGGCTTTTAGGCGACCGTTCAAGTGGGAGTTGCGACTTGAAGAGAAGTATGGTGTGACACTTGAATAACTGAAGAAGTTGAACAATGAATATATTTCGCGGACCGTTTATTTATTTTATTTTAAATATAAACATTTTTAAGCTACATATCTTGAGATTAAGGCACAGTTATTCTTGCTACTTGTTACACATTGTTTTAAGCGAAGATACACAGATTAGAATGAGGATTACATACTCATTTCCTTTAAAGAAATACAGATGAAAATGAGGATTACATACTCCTTTCCTTTCGTTTTTCTTTTTGTTTTACGCGTTTCTGTTTCTCTCTTAGAATCAACTGTTTGCCTAAGTTAGCCCAAGACTTTTAGGTCATAAGTTCATGGGTCGCATTTTGCTACTGTTGCCATCATGAGTAATGTTTACTGCTAATTATGAAAATAGATGTTTACCCGTAATACGGTACCGTTGAATTTGTAACGTGATTTATAGATAAGCGAATCGATTTGATCCCAAAATGATAAATAAATTAAATAAAATGCAAGACTTCGCGTTGAATTCGAGATAAAAAGTAAATAGCCTGATTTCAGGAGCGGAGCTTCCGAAGGCACTAATAACAATATTAATAAGCAAGAAATGAAATGTTATTGAGCTTTTGAACAGTGTATAGCATAAGTTTGTCAGAAAATTCATGTCCTTACAATGGTTGTTGAAATCACTATTTATAGTTGCACCTAGAGAACAAGGTCCTAGGATCAAGCCCCTCTTAAATGACAATTATGGCCGGTGAAGAATGTGTAACGGCAGGCTATGAATGCCATAATTCTCTATAATGGACTATGTATTTAATATTGCAGAATATTCTTCATTGAACGCTACCGGGTGGCAAGCACTCGTTTGTCTTTATTAGCAATCTTCCCTTCGGGGGCTCTCCGGTGCTAACCGAAGTTGCTGCCCCCGGTCTTGGTTTCCACCTGTCTCACTTTCCGTCCATCCCTGGTTCCACATGTCGTTCTACTATATGAGTATTTAATATGAACCGATTTTACCCTATACAGATAGCCTCCTTGCTTTCCGGTGGCACATCCTTGCTTCATCGGGAAGTTGGTGAAGATACCTTTCTTGGCAGGAATTTTTCTGACCCCCTCTAAAAAGTTTCTGACACTTGATTAGACGCACGTCTCTCCGCATTTAATGCCCCCAACACGCGTCATCGTATGATTTAGCAATACTTTCGCCGGTTCTCGAGGTAATCATGGCCACGATTTAAGCCGCCTATTCCTTTACTTATACGCTTCATCCATATTTTTTTACACTTCACAGTTTTTCAGAGCTTTCTCAACTTCTTTGCATCTAACTTTTCCTGGTTTTCACTCTTCTTTAATCTTCTTCTTCAAAGAACTCTTATTTTCATATACTAACCCTGGCCTCTTCTTCCATGAACTCAAGCTCTTCAAAGAATAAAGAAAGCATTGATGATGCTGCTCCTCCTGCAATGAGTGCCATTATCCCCAGAATGCTCAATACAACCAAGGATTTTGAGGAAAAACTTACTTCTGCAAACTCCCGCACATGGGCTGTTGGTGTATACCTTTCTTCTATCCGTCCTTCTAGTATTCATATTGTGAAGGAAGACTGTAGTTGCCATGATTTGAACATCATCGCCCCCGATCTGGCGGAGTGAGTAACTTTCCCCAAGAAGGGTTTTACATACGTTTACATGTATCGCTTTACTTTGGGCCCATTCTCATTGAGTGGGGGACTTGACTCCGTAATCTTGGAATTTTGCTTCCGTTATCAGGTATCCTTGGCATAGGTGAGCCCTTCTGTGTGGCAGATGGTAGCTTGTCTTCGGCGTCTATGACAGGAGACGGGGGAAGAGCTCTCCCTGGCTCGAATGATGAAATTTTACTCCCTCAAGATTTTCCATGGGGGAATGATAAACTTCAGCAAACGTGGTCACCATGCTTTGCTCACCAGCATGGATGATGACAATGACTGTGGATGGATGGAGCGGTTCGTTGTAATTGCTACTAGGGATATGATCCTAGCCACAACTCCATCTTTTCCCGAATCATGGAATCGTACACGTATGTTCAACGTCCGTCTTTTTTTTCTGATTAAAGGTTGTTCCATGTTATTACCGATCCTTCTCTTTTCATTATTTCAGCAACTCGGTAGACACCGCCAAGGATTGAAGGCTTGGACCAGTAGGTCTAGAAGATTTTGGACTTCACCACGCCTGAGACCTGCCGGTGGAAAGAAGTGGCCCTTAAATACGGGTGGAAGGCAAAAAATCATGGTAAGTTGATTCTCGAACTATTTTGTTTTTACCTCTCATATAAGAAAACTGGCCAACTTCTCTTTTTGTTGAATTCAAGTCTTCCACAGGGCTCTGTTACCGTCCTCGAGGAAGATGTTTTAGGTGATACTGCAGATGTGGCTGGTCCACGTCCAATCCGCACTCAATAATGAGTGGAAACGGTCGTTGGAAGAATAATACCCAACAAGAGTCGGGGTCGATTTTCATAGGGAGTTACAATGGGTGTTCGGAGTATACACTTGATGAGAGTGAATGGACTAACTAAATTTGCACTTCCACAAAAGGTTTTGATTACTAATTCTATTTTTCTACTTCTACCCTAACAATTATAACTAAGAAAAGACTAAGAAAATAAACTATAAGGGAATGATTGCTTTTGTCAAATAATTAAAAAGCCTAGGGATGTGACCATAACCTAGATATTCGCCTAATGAGTTAAATACGTTAATACTTATTTTGTTGATTGGGTGTATTATAGCTCTCAACTCTACGTTACCCACTCAATACCTCTCGGTCTGATTTTGTCCAATTTGGCTTTCTCAAGTCCAAATAGGTATCAAACAAAATAGTTGATATGAGCTCAAGTCGGGTTCTTACTATCTTTAGTTTGAACCCTTTAATTAGGCTAATCAAACTCTCAATTAATCCAATTCCTTATTAGCCAAGTTATCCTAGACTAGGTCCCTCATTCTCAAGTAGAGACTAAGTAAAAAAGGCATGAATCAATGTTTGCAACCATTAATTCTAAAATTGAAGCATGAACTAAGCTAAATAATCAATGCCCAACCATAAACAAGCATTAAATTAAATACCCATAAGGTTTACACATTAGGGTTAGGTCACAACCATAGTAAGAATCTAGCTACTCATAATGAGAATTGAAGAAAATAAAGAAGAAGTGCTAATTAAACTCATAATCAAAGATTAAAATGATAAAATATAATGTTTAAACACTAAAATAATCACAAACTTCCTAAAATGGCAAAATGTAATGGCTACAATAGCTCAAACTTCGAAACTTGACCTAAAAATGTGAAACTCGTCTATTTATAGTGGCCCAAAATTTTCTGACAAAAATGCCCCTCGGGAGGTTCTGCGGCCGCACAATTCCATGTGCGGTCCGCAGATTTCTTCAGTTGGCAGGAGTTTGGATTCTGCAGCCGCACATTTCTGGATTGCACTGCGAAGCATCTTCTGCGGTCGCACAATTATTGTGCGGTCCGCATTTCAGCAAGGCTTTAGGTCTTGGTCTTTTGCACACTCTCTGAACTTTGAATCATTTGTCAGTGCAAACCTTGTTCTGCAGCCGCACAAATTCATGTGCAGTCCGCTCATTGACCAAAGTTCTATTGGGTTCTTTTGCTTGGTTTGCGGTCACAGATGGAATTCTGCGGTCCGCACTTTCTTCTGCGGCCGCAGAAATCCTTCTGCGGACCGCACTTCTGTGATTCTGCGCCCTTTATTGCCTTGTGATTCAGAACTCTCCTTTTTGAGTCGAATTTCATCATGTGAGACCAAACTTCTAATATTCCTGTAATTTGTACACTTTTATTAATTTTGAGAACATAAATCAATACTTTCAGACTAAAACAAAAGCAAAAAAGTGCTAATAAGTAGTCAAAATCCCAATTTATCAACTCCTCCAAACTTAAGTCTTTCCTTGTCCTCAAGCAAATAAATTAGTTCCCACCTCCTATAGTTAAGGGCCATTTCAGCGAGTCAAAAGTGAGCCATCCACACATTAGTTGGGAAAAACAATTACCCACACTACTCATGAATTATTAACAAGGTGACAAGTCAAATATTCATGTACATATAATTCTAATGTGACATCTGAGCTCCAAGAATTTACTTTACTCATCAAGGACTCTTGTTCTGTCATGTAGGTCATGGTGGACTCCAACTCTTTCTCCTCTACTTTCCATTTGCCAAGCTCGCTTAAGAAATTAACATTCAATCTTAGGATTCTTGAAAGGTTCACTTGTCTCTCACAAGAGAATGTCATAAGTACGCTTCAAGTACCATAGGCTTGCCCCTCATGTAGATCGCCACTAATGTAAGCTCACTCGGTTTGAAATCAAGTAGGACTTCTTTTGGGATGTAATGAAGGATTTTGGATTGGGGTAGGATACCATATGGGTAAGTAGTTACACCTTTTCTTAAGCACCTTCGTTTCTAGGCTCACAATTGCCAATTCTTAGAGGCACTTTCTTTCCATTGGGGACTAGAGAAACTTAACATCACTCATTCTTGTTCATTTCATTCCTTTTCTTCCTTTTTTTTAATTTCAAGCTAGGGATCATTACCTCTTTTTGAATCCATTAACCCTTCCACTTATTCACGTTTTGTATTTTTCTTTTTGTTCTTTTTTTTTCTTGCTTTCTCTTTCATAGAGATCATTTCTTTTCTCTTTTTGTGCCTTGATACCTTTTTCGAATTCCTCATCTCTCCCCCAAACTTATATTTTAAGCCACTTATTTCACAAGAGTGTTAAAGAAGGTCCGTGTGCCAAGAGAGGGTCATGATAAAATGGGTAAAGGCTTATAACATGGTTGTCAAATAAGAAAAGCTAGAGGCTCAAAGGGGTTGACTAGGGATAACGACATTGATTGGCAATAGAAAGCTCAAATGGGACAAGAAACGCCTACAATCACTTCTTAAATCAAGAAAAACTTAGGATTTCGCCTTGAAACACATTCGGGGCAAGTTCTAGACCATTCGCACGGGTACTTGGATTAACAATAATTCATCTCACCCTTCATGCAAAT